TTTTCCATTATAAATAAAATTATTGATCTTATCAATAAAAATTCCACATCGTTCAAGTGTATGAGCTGTAGTCTCGTTATATGGTTTGAACAGTCCTTAGTACTTGAGCTAACTTTAGCACTGAATTAGGCTCGAAGTTCATTTTCTCAACAGTGCCAGACCATCTCTTATGTTGGACTATCCACTTTTTGGCCACCCATGTTATGTTGCTTCCTCCCCCCCTCCTGATTACCTAGGGCATGCCAAGGGAGGGATGAGGGTGCATTAGAACCTCACATTGGTTACGTTGTATATGTTGTAGTCTTCTTATAGACTTATACGGTCTTGGAAGTTGGAACTTTTGAGCTGAATTAAATCCAAAGTCTATTTTCCCCACAGATTCCATGTAAGGCAAATTTGCTAAAGTTGAGAATAGATTCATTTTCAACTCTTTATTTCCTTGACATGCTTGGATCAATAAGTTTTGATGCCTCTGTTTGCATTTCACACTTAAAACAAACCAATCCATACACATAAAACAAACAAATAAAAAAGGGCAGCCCGGTGCATAAGTCATCCAGCATTCATGCTCGGTCCGGGGGTGCGCCGCACCCCAAGGGGTATGGTATGTACAACCTACCCTAATGCAAGCATTAGTAGCTGCTTCCAGGGGCTGATCTAGCGTATACTCTGCGGGTTCAATTGAACCCATAACTTGTGATGCGGAGTAAAAATTTATTTGTAAAAATTCATTAAAATTGCAAAAATTAGTAGAGATGAACCCATAACTTTAAAATATAATGGGTTCAATGTTAAAAAATTTAAAAGTTGAACCCACCGGATTTAAATCCTGGATCCGCCTCTGGCTGCTTCCAAAGTTCAAACCTGTAACCTATAGGTCAGACGGAGACAACTTTACTGTTGCTCCAAGGCTCCCTTCACATAAAACAATCAAATCCATACACAATATGTTTTAATGCATACTAATGGTCATCTTCCTTGTAAATTTGTTTGCATTTCAAAGAAAAATCGAGAAATATTTTTTTGACAAGGAATTTAATCTTTTTTATGATAAGGAGAAAAAAAAAGAGAAATATTAAAGTAATGGCTAAAAACTAGTTAGAGAATACATCCCATCAAAGTTTAATTTTTAAATGAGTGTGAATTCTTGAAAGTTGCTAAAGTTGTAATGAATGAAATTGTATAAACCTTTTTAAAACGTCTTAAAATTTGTATACAGAATGGATGGGTTCCTCTCTCCATTTACGATGTGAGAATTTTACAGCTGAACCCTGAAAGCTACGTGGGAGCACATGGGCCATTCTGATGGCCAAGTTTTGGTTTGGTGGATGTAATGACCGAGTAAATAGAAGTTTTGGAGCTAACTTATATGCAATCATTGTTCTCAGATTGCACTGAACTTGCAGAAAATATTATGGTTCTTGTCCAGTTACACTTGTTCTCGTTCCTCTGGGTAATGTTGCACACTGATGTTTGTGGCAATGTCATTCATCATGTAACCAGTTATTTTTCTTAACATTTTAGCCTGCTATTCTTTTTCTTGCTATATTTTGCTTTTTTATGTTCGTAATTTTACACCAGCCAAACAGATGTGAGCATTCTATTGATAAGCATGAGTTGCCTTTTGCAGGTTGATGCTGTTGTATACCTGGTAGATGCATATGACAAAGAGCGCTTTGCAGAGTCAAAGAAAGAGTTAGACGCACTGCTATCTGATGAGGCCCTAGCTACTGTCCCCTTCCTCATTTTGGGAAACAAGATAGACATACCGTATGCTGCCTCAGAAGATGAGTTGCGTTATCACCTTGGCTTGACTGGTGTCACTACTGGCAAGGGTAAGGTGAGTGTTGCTGATTCTAGTGTTCGTCCCTTGGAGGTGTTTATGTGCAGTATTGTACGCAAAATGGGGTATGGTGATGGCTTTAAGTGGGTTTCTCAGTATATAAAGTAGTTTATGCCGCTAGCAATGTACCAGAAGTTGAAACAGATTGTGTCCTCTTTTATGCTTTCGTATAACTATTTTTTCCCGTCTGGAAAAGATGGCATATGTTCATTTATTCTCAAACTAATGAGGTCTTTTAGTACTTATGATTTGTATGGGTTAAACATCTATTTAGTGTGATGAGAAGCTATTTATTATTGCCCTGTAAAATTTACCTAAGGCTGGAAATTTGTCAAAACTCCAGACTATGACTTCCAATTCTGAGTTACTCATTCTCTTCTGCTTCAGCAATTGTCCACCTGATAATACATCTAATCTGTATTGAATTGTAATGCTTCCTTCTCTTCAGAAATTAGAATATTGCTCAAACTGTTGAATTCATTCGGTATATGCATTGGTTTACTTGATGGCAAAAGGCTCATATACGTACCTTGTTCAAGAGTGTAAATTATGCATCTAGGGTTCTCTATTACTATTAATATGCATCAATCCCAACTATTAATTCTCGTTTACATGTCAACTGCATTCTATTCGGTGCCTCAAACATCTGACTAGAATTTGCCTTTTATGACAATCTACGATAATCGTTCAAGGGATTATGTGTAACTCAGCGTGCCTGCAAACTGTCCGTTGACTATGACAGTAAAATCTCACGCGGCAATGTGTAGTCAAGTTGCTGGCTCATCGTGACATCAAGAATTGAAGAATAGGTATCCGACTATGATGTTTAATTTTCCGATGCTAGATACAAAGACTGGGCAAATGCAACTAATCTTGTACCCATTTATATAGTTTAATCAAATGAACGTAGCAAATCATATGATATAATATGTTTAATATATCACCCAAAGGTGTGACCTAACCATTAATAAATGGCGAAGATCATGAGATATCAAAGTTTCAAATTCTAGTGATTTTTCCCCATCTACCTTAGTATTGGTGGGTGGAGGTATTTGATTCTCGTGCTTATAGGAGGAAAAAAGTATTTGGACTAGTAATCAAGGACTAGTCCACACTCCAGGTACCACTATTATTAAAAGAAGGGATAATACATAAAGATGCTCCCTGAACTTGTCTAGATAAATGAGTTTCTTACTCAACCTTTACGGGTGTTCTAGTACCTCCCTATTGTTTTTCAAAGTGAATTTAATACCACCCTCAAAGCTGATCTGGCAAAGAATATGAGCCAGTTTGAATTGACTTAAAAAAAGTGGCTTTTAAGTACTGTGCTTAAAGTCTTAAACTCACTTTTTAAGTGCTGAAACTTGTTTTATAAATAAATAGTTACGTGTTTGGATAAAAGTGTTTAAGCTGAAAAAAAGTTGTTGAAGTGTTTGGTAAATAAGTGTTGGTAAGCACTCTTTCAGTTAAAATAATTGAAATATTCTTTAAGTTGTTAACACTAAAGTATGCTATTTTTGGAGAATTGCCTTTAAAAAAAAATTAGAAAAAATTATTTATGTTTAGCGAATTTTTCATTTGAAGTTACTATATTAGTGCTATATATTTGTTTCAACTTTTTCGAATATTTTTGTATTTTAGTTTTTGTACTAGACAAACAATTATGACATTGTTTGTTTGACAATATAAAAGAAACGCAACCATTCAAAGCACAAAGAATTCAAGAAAATAATTATTAGAAAATATACGTATCAAATAAGGAGGAGTAAAATAAAAATGTTGTTATGATTAGAAGGAATCATGAAAATGAAATCAGGGCACACATTTTTTTATTTTATTTTTTAAGTAGAAGGGCACAAAATTTTAAAAAATAGGGAAAGGCAATAGATATAAAATGGGATATGCCATGAAAATGGCATTTAAAATGGTTGACAAAAATGGGAACAGTGGAGGGAGAAGAAGGAAAAGAAGTTGGGCTTTTGGATTTGAAGGGATATTTGGAAAAATAAAAGATTATTAGGGATAAAAGAGTAAATTATATGGTCAAACTCAATCAACTTTTAAGTTACAAAAAATAAGTTGGGATTACTAACTTGTTGCTTTTAGCTTGTTTGGGCTTAAAAACACTTGTTTTTAAAGTTACCAAACACTCCAATCAGCTAAAAGTGTTTTTAAGCTGGTTTGACCAACTTTTAAGCCAATTCAAACAACCTCTATGTTATTACATTCCTATATGCGCGTGAAAGGCAAGAAAAAACATTAAAAAATAATTAAACTATGCACGTATTATCTTTTAATTGGATGTTATCAACTAATTGCATTTAAATATTTATTATTATTATTATTTTTACATTGTTTATTTTCTTATTCTTTGTTCTTTTATTTCTTTTTCCTTTTTTTCTTTTTCTGTTCTCCTTTATCTTCTTCCTCGTTTCCTGTTCTCCTTTCTCTTCTTAATCCCCAGTTAGTTTCTCTTCTTTATTTTCTTTGTTTTCTTCTTATTGTCAAATTCCAAATCAAAAGTTCACACCTAACTCCTTAGTTTGTCAAAACTTCACCTTCCGCCGATCTCTCTCCCACCTTTTCTTCTTTTTATTTATTGCTAGTCTATTATTACTTTAATTTTTTCATCGTGTTCCTTAATTAATATTGGGTACACATTTAATTCTACAAATGTCATTATTAAAGGCAATCCAATTTCTACTTTCTCTGTTTTCTCTTCTAATTTCTGACACCCATTAGTTCATATTTTTTAGATCCAACAATAATGCATTCTTAATTTTAGCTCTGAATATACTGTCTTTTTCCCCACGCAAAAAAAATCTCTAATTTGGTAATGAAAAGAAGTAAAAGATGATAAAATCTAAAAATAAATGGATTGTATTGTTGATTTTTGAAGCTAGTTTGGCGATCTTCAATAGCAAAAAATGGTTGAAAGAAATGGTTGATAGGGAGTTATGAATTGGACAAAAATGATGAAGGGTGTGAAACTGTTGAGTTTTAGGAATGATGGTTGTTTGGAGTATTTTAGGGAGGGGGGTTATTGTTGAATTAGTCTAGGCTCCAGGGAAAAAAAAAGTAAAAATCATGAAAATGACACATGTTGTTTACCCAACTAAGATAAAATCTAGTTGTGAGGTATTAAATTTACTTTGGCTAGGGAGGCAGTAGGACAACCGTAAAGGTCAATTTATGTATTTTCCCTAAAAAGAAACATGTTTAGAACATTAATGACCAGAACTTTGTAGTCGAGCTGGGATCCTTATATTCTCAATCGGGATTCTCTAGAGACATTCACTTTTGGATCAGATTTCTTCTGAGTACCTTTTCGATAACTAACTTTGATATGAATCAGTTGGAGATGCAGTTGATAAACAGTTGAACGGTTCCTCATTTCTTGAACTTGCCGATTTCTCGTTAGGTAAGACTCTTTCTCTCTCTAGTCTAACTCCTTTGGAAATTTAAATATTACGTGTGTTAGATTGCATGCTCTAGGCTCCATTAGATCACAAAGTGAAGAGGAGCAGGTCAACGAGTTTAGAGAAAACGACTCCAAACAGATCTTTTATTACCCTTTTCTTGACATTATATTCTCTGTGGAATCATTACCACCAAGTCCACCATTATGTCCCTCAAAAAAGTCACAAGATGGAGCGGTTTAACAAACTCCTTTCTTTACTTCACAGTTCAAACCTTCCATTCTTAAATACCAACTTTAATATCTATTATCAATGCCCATTAAAAACAAACGGCTTTAATTTATTCATTTTCCCATCTCCATAACTCATCTTGAGTTAGTTTTCTCAAACCATCACCTACAAACCCCAAAATGGGCAATTCCATTAATCCACAGGGCAAGTTATCAGATGGCACAAGCAAGGTTATTTTTCAAGATGGGACCATTCAGAGTTATGACAAGTCTTTAACAGTGGCAGAGTTGATGCTGGAGAATCCCCAGCAAATAGTGGTTGAATTCAAGCCGATCGCGGATGGTAAAAAGCCGATTCCATTGCCTGCTGATATGAAACTGGAGAGGAACAAGGTTTATATGATGCTTCCAAAAAGGAAAGGAAAGCCCGTTAGCTTGTCATCTGAAGAAGCACGACGAATTCTAATGAAAACTAGCTCTATGCTTAAATCCAAGTCTCTGCTAGCTTCTTATACCGGGTTTTTGCCAGTATTCGCACGTATATGTCCAGCAGCAGCAGCAGCAGTTTCCTCTGCATCATTGGGAAATGGTCGTGATTATGTTCTTAATTCGGACAAGAATCTTTGTTTGGTGAAAAGAGAAGAAGAGGAAGAAGGATCTAAACATGATTACTTCAGTGATATTCTTGAAGGAAGACCTGAATTCTTAAGCAGACAATTGTCAGGAAAAGGATGGAAGCCCAGTTTAGACACCATTAAAGAAAGGAGCATACAAGCAAAAATTCGTCATTGGTTGTTTTAAGGTGTTTGTCTTTGTCCAATCAAATGTTGTCATGTCTAGTTTTCGCTTCTTTGTTCTTTCCTTTCTCCCGTTGTTTCTTTATGCTTTTTCTTTTGTCTTTCTAGTGTCCGTCTAGTCATGCATCTTTAGCCTTGATTAAGTTTAGTGCTTTTTCTGTGACTTAGGAAAAGCCATGGTGTAGCAAAGTCTTGTTAATGTGGTAATTTGTAGCTTTCAATGCATGGTGTGATAAAGTATTGTAAATGTGTTCAGCTTTCAGGTAACGCATGAATTATTATGGAAAAAAGTGACCTAACGAAGAATTAAATACTCAGTCTATAATTAATTCTTCGAGGTGCTACAAGTAATTTATACTTTGTCCGTCTCAAATTATATTTCGTGATTTCTAATAATAGGTGTCTCATATTATTTGTCATTTAGAAGTTTAAGAAAAAATTAATTATATTTTTCTCATGTTACCCTTAGTAGTAATTGTTCTTAAAGATGGAGATAACATATAAATAGAATAAATATTCAATAAAGAGAGATTATATTTTAAGATATAAATAAATGTAAAATAGTCAAAAATACTTTGTAATTAATGTTTATTAAGGATCGTGTAAAAGAAAAACGCGTCAAATAATTTGAGAAAGAGGTATTAATAGACTTTGTCAACCAAGAGTGACGATATATACAACTTGGTTTTTGATTTACGTTTTGACTAGACTTTGGTGCATTTAGACGAAATAATTTCTTGCTAGACCAATTCTACCCAAATCCGTCTAGAGATCGCAATTTAAAAACTTCGCGGAGTTCTGACTAACTAAAAGAATAACTTCAGGGAGTTGTCATTCAATTAATATAGGAGTAAGTCTTAAGTCTTAACGATGAAATTCTAAGCACTATGATTTTCAGTTTAATTCACGACAAAGGGAAGATTTTATATAAATGTGTGTTCTAACTACTGCCTTCGCTCCGAATAATATATCACCTTGACTAAAAATAGTTGTTTTAACATAGTTGTCATTTTAGAAAACAAGAAAGAATTGATTCTTTCTTTCCAATTTTATCCTTACTAAAAAAAGTGGAGAAATATTAATTTGATGAAAGCAAGAAGCAATAAATCAAACAAAAGATAAGGTTAATTTAGTCAAATTATTTTTAATTAATATCTTCTTAAAGCATATGCAAAAATAACTATGACAAGTAAAAGAGAAGAAAGGGAGTATAACTCAAAGAGTTTAGCTGTTGTTCCTTCTATAACAATTTACTATATGATACTCTTTCCTTTTTAATCCGTCCCGTAAGGAATAATATCTCTCTACACAAATATCTATGACTTTTTTCGATCACAAGTTTTTTAAAAAAATCTTTTTTAAATTTCATGACCATTCAAAGGCACTCACATAAATGAGACGAAGAGAGTATATACTAACAATATATTTAGTTACATATAAGGTCAATAAAAATAAATCAGTGTTGCGACCAAACACACTCACGCAAGTATACGTGGTCGTCAAGTAATAGAGTAGTGGATAAAGTATCGTTCTCACGAAGACTTATGATTAACTTTTGACTAATTCAAACTCAAATAGCTTATCGATTCAAGCGATTTCTTATAAAATAGATAATTGTCTAATTTACTACCTAAAAACTATCAATTAATGAAATACTAGAAATCAACACAACACTTAAATAGTTTTAAATAACAACCAATGGGAGACAATATTCCAGGGTCAAGGGTTAACTAACAATCATGTTGCTTTCTTAGCTTAAAATAACTAATTGATTTATCTGGATTGTTGATTGCTAGGGTTGATATTACTCATAAGAATCTGTCAAGTCCTTACTCGCCTATTTAAGCTAACTTAATACCTATATGTCTATGGAATTAAGATTAACAAGAATGTATTTACACTTCCTGTATTTCAACCGATCAAGACAATTAGGTATATTTCTATCCTAATTGCGAATTCGTTCCCCGATGTCCGTGTTCAAAAACTTGCTCTATTTAATTCTATATGCAATCTAGAATTTCTACTTTCGAGTTCAACTCTAGATTCGTAAATAGTAATTCACTGTTAGCTACTCAGCAAATTAATTAAAAACAGAATTAAATAAATNNATATTGCGTACAAAAGTCGTGGGCCAAAGTTCTCCTATTCCTAATCCGACTTGGCTACAGGGATTGATGCTGGGGTGGATGCGTCGCATCCACCTCGTCCTCCACTTCTCAGCTTCGCATGCTAGGGTGGATGTGTCGCATCCACCCTTTGTTCCTCCTTCTCAGCTTTGCCCAGGTGCGGATGCTATGGCGGATGCTATGGGCCGACTTCATTGCTAAGGATGCACGAAATCTAATTTTTTTTAGAGCATCTTTTCTTTATATTTTTGCACTCCAAACACCCTAATTCATCACACACAACTCAATTAGTCATA